ATGGGCAGTTGTTAGCTTCCATGTGGGCGTTATGATTTGAACCTGGGTCTTCAGTGTTTTTTTTTTTTTTTTTTTTTTTTTTTTTTTGCAGTAGACACACACACACACACACACACACACACACACACACACACAATATCCTGACTTACAGTACAGTAAAACAATAATAGTTAAGGACTCTGAAATCAAAAGACAATTTTACTTCCAATTCCTGTTCTACTTGCATGTTAAAGAATTTAGGGTTGAGATATTTACTTTCTTTTTTCTCATTTCCCTGATGTGTAATAAGGGGATAGCAATAGTATGCAGTTTAATAGGGCTTGAGGATTAAATGAGATAAAGCATTACAGAGCTTAGTAGAGGAACTGACTGACCTAGAGTAAGATGTTCATAAATGTTAACCATCATGGCCACTGCTATTATCACTAGACTGACTCCATCAGAGAAGCTGAAAAAGAACTTAAGTGATGTAAAAAGTTACGGCTGGAATCATATAATTTCAAGCTTTTTCATTCAATATAAGAGGCCACTTTCCCAGGGTAACCTATTACCTCAGTGATATAATCACCGTTGGTGATTTCAGCCTTGTCTTGATGGATGTGGATAGAACTTTGCCCAAACCCTCAAGGACGGATCACAGATGATGAAGCTGAGCTTCACTGAAAGCACCTGCAAAACAGAAACAACACCTGCGACAAACACGTCGCCCAATGCGTGCCTTCTGGGGCCTCAGGGGGGACGAGTGAGCATTTGTGCCTCAGTGCACTTGCATCCCTTAAGTCAGTAACTACAGTTCTATGATGAAACCAGTCCAGTCTCTGCAGACTTGCCTGCACTCCTGCTCCTTTGTTCTGTTTCAGGCCCAAAGTCTAAAGGAATTACAACAGTGTGTGTAAGAATTGAGGTTTCTGTTGGAAATTAAAATTTTATGACTCCAACCCTTATTACTTTGTACACCCTTCTGGATTGTGCAGTATTAAAATTAGTGCAAAATGTTCAGGTCCCATGATGCCAAATATCCACATGGAAACATACGTCACCTAAATGAATGAACATGATGTAACATATCCAGATAAGAACTGAGTGAGTTTGGGTGATCTGTAGTGTTTTTCTGTTTGTAGCTGGGCACTGGTACATACCAGGATCCGTGTTCCACTCGCTACATTGCCACCATGCAGCCTAAGGACATGAAAGGGAGATTCATGAGTCTCCAGTTCTTCAGAGAGAGTGCTTACACATGCTAGTGATTTGTCGTAAAAGTCCCTGCTCAACGCAAGTTCTTATTAAGCACAAATCTGCTTGCAAAGCATTTGTTTTTAATGAGGTATTTTCTGCATAAAAATGCTAAAAATATTTTCCCATTCATTATGATGTGTTCTGTGGCTCATTAGGTTGGTTTTCTTGGGGAGGAGGTGAGAGAAGAATTTTGAGTGTTTACAGAAACAACAATATAAAAATGATTCTTTTTATACTCTGCATAATTTTTAATAATTTCTAAATACCTGAGTGAGACAATAGGAGATGACTTAAAATAGTGAGGGTATTTCATTAGCCCAACAGATATCAGTAATAGAGGATCTTAGATTACACTTCTGTAAACTGCTGAAAGTTTGCCCATTTCAAGTTTCTGGGTACCTAACAGTTCCAAGTACCTTAGGGAAGCTTTGTTTCCAATTGAGTGTGGGACACCAATTTCATTAAAAGATTTTTCCATTCAAGTTGTGCCCCTCACAGTTGAACAGAACATTGTTCAATACATTCAACTTAAAAGGCTGTATATTTCTTAAAGAGGAATAGGGGTAGGGAATTTGCAGGCAAAACCCTGGATAGGGGGCTGGAGAGATGACTCAGCGGTCAAGAACTCTGCCTTCTGTTGCAGAGGACCTGGGTTCAATTCCCAGCACTCATATGGCAGCTGACAACTGTCTTTAACTCTAGTTCCAAGGGAATTCAATCCCATCTTCTGACCTCCACAGGCATTGAATGACACAGGTGTACTTACATACATGCAGGCAAAACACTCATACCCATAAAATAAAAATAATAAAAGGGATTTTTTTTAAAAAGAGAGTTTTTTTTAAAGCCGGGATAGGCATTTTCTTATAGAACAATTGGATAGATATTTGATTAGACAGTAACTCACCTTTCATCTATGGCTTAGTTAAGCCAATTTTCTTCCTTTAAAAACAGCATTCATAATAAGATTCTGGTATAGGTTTCCACAACTCTGTGGACTATTTTAATGTACTCTGGTCAGTACTGGCATAGTCTGTAAAGCCAGACTGCCTGGACTTGAATACCATCTCTACCACCCAAGTTGTGCAATTCATCATTTTGGTCACATCTTAAGGATAAGGATAGTACCTCACAGACTAGGCACTAAAGGCTTAATGTGTTAAGTGCATGTGAACAGTTGAGCGGTTAATAAACACTCCATAAATATTAGACCTGGTAATGATGAAAATATGTCATTTAAGTCTTTGATTTTCCTATAATTTAAAAGTAAGATTATAGGTTTAAATTCCGTCTCTATAAATCTTTTGGTTGTGTGATTTGGAAATTGCAGATTTTCTTTCTGAATCCCAGTTTCTATGGTCCTTTTTAAAAAGTCTACCCAGATTATCTGTATGATAATCATTTCAGCTTTTTGAGCTCATTAAGAATACTCAATTCTAATTTGAGGCGGGGGGCAGCTGGAGAGATGACTCAGTGGCTAAGAGCACTGCCTGCTCTTTCCAGAGGACCTGGGTTTGGTTTCCAACACCCACATGGTGACTAACAACTGTCCACTGTCCACAACTCCAGTATCAAGAAATCTGACACCCTTTTCTGGCTTCTGATGGCATTTCATGCATGTAGTACATTTACATGCATGCAGGCGAAACACTCGTGCACATAAACTAAAAATAAAATTTAAAAATAATACTTAATGTGATGTCATATAAATAAAACTAAATTATATGTATGAAAGTGCCTAGGACAGTGCCTAGGATACCTGAGCATCTGAATCTATATTCACAAAAACTTGTACTACAGCTCTTAATATTAAATGAAAAGTCTGTAATACATATGCACCCATAAGATTAGAGTAAGTATAAATCATTACACGCTTTCCAGAGAACAAAACTCTAATTAATCATACCCTTTCTTTCAGCAATTCTATATCTTGGAATTTCCTCCAGAGCAATAATCATTCTTTGTGAAGGTTTATTCACTAGTATGTTCATTAAAGCACCGTTTCAATGGAAAATAAGGTTGAAAAGCTATACAGCCATGGCTCCCAAACTGTGAACTGAGATGCCCATGAATGTACAAGGAAGCCATGGGATATTTAAAAACTTTCAAATGACAGTGTCATATCTTCAGTGATATCTGGCAATGGTTACAAAGTAATGCCACCACTCCTACAAGTAGGAAGGGATTGGGGCTGGAGAGATGACTCAACAGTTAAGAACACTGGTTACTCTTTAGAGGACTTGGGTTCGATTCCCAGCACCCATATGGTGGCTAACAACCCTCTGTAACTTCAGTTCCAGGGGATCCGACACCCTCTTCTGGCCTCTGTGGGCATTGAATGACATGGGTGCACTTACATATGTGCAGGCAATACACTCATACACATAAAATAAAAATAATAAAAATATTTTTAAAAAGGGATGCTTGGTTTCTTAATAATTTATATCAAAAGTTCTGTAAGGGGAATTCACAGAAAAGTGAACTAGCTAAATTTAGCTTAAAACTTATCAGTTGAGAAACCAAGGAGTGTCCCTAATTTACAGTCCCCTGCCATCAGAGTGGCAAAAGGAAGTGATTTCAGGGAAAGATTCGCTGAAAAGATTCTCTTTTCCAATCTGTTGTTAAATTCTGAAGTTCAATATCTAGCGACTATATATTTCTCTCTTATTAGAAAACAAATCAGCCCTGCAAAATGTTTTAGCTTTGGGATATTAATGTTAGTAAAAGGCAAAAGACTTATGTAATATGTAAAGAAATCACAGTCTAGGAGATTAATTTTAGATCATCTCTTTGGGACATAGAGCTATTGTGGACTTGGGCTATAGGAAAAAGATTAAAATAAACCTCTCTATAGCTATATATTCACATAGTAGCTCAATCTGTTTAATTCATCATTGAAAGCATAGCTTTTGACTGATCAAGGACCTTAAGAGTTGTTTGACCTGGATGTAAAAAGTTTATAGTCAAAAAAAGTGTAATTTTCAACAGCCATAAGAAGGAGGAATTTCCCAAGAGATACTTCTATCCACAGGACTGAACTTTTGGCTATAAATGAATTTGGTAAGTGACAGGATACTGCCACTTATTTATGGTGGGCAGGAGGGATAAAGGAAGAAGGGCCCACAGTGGGGTGTGTTTGGGTTCTGAATGAAAATTCAGTTAATTGAAACTCATTTATCTTCAGGTAAAATTCTTAAGGAATTTTCTCCTTGCCTAGATTGTGGCCACATGGGGAATAGTAAGTGGGTATCAAAATGTGGACAGACTCACACTGAAGGGCAATTGGAGACACGAATTTGACTCAATATCTATCTATCTATCTATCTATCTATCTATCTATCTATCTATCTATCTATCTATCTATCATCTATCTATCTATCTATGTATCATCTATCTATCTATCTATCTATCTATCTATCATCTATCTATCTATCTATCATCTATCTACCTAAAACAGAGTACTTGAACTTAGGTGGGAGGTATTGGGGTTGTAGATAGGGAAGGGGGTTTAACTATGATCAAAATACATTGTATAAAATTTGCAAAAATTAAATAAAAATGAAAAATGATGTAGAGCATTTGGCAAGCTACAACAGGTAACCTCTGCAAAACTA